GCTGTGGGAAACAACGGCTGGATCTCGGTAGAGATACAAATTTGATAAGTAACAGCTAAAAAGTGAATGTAAGTAAACAGCCAGAAATAGAGCCAGAGCTTTTGGACAACACTAGTCCTTCCTCAGTAGAGTGTGTGAGGGTAGAAAAAGCCAGATAGTATAAAGTGAGAATTTCATGCAAGCATGATTAGAAACAATAGGCAAGGTGAGATGAGAATAATCAAAATTACAGGCAGTATATATTACTATTTTGTCGCCGTTTTTTATTTGTCGGCCATCTTGGATATGAAGTCAACTTTTGGGTTGCCTTAAAGTTAACTTCAAATGTACATGTTTCAGGAAAAATCCACTTTAAAACGTTAACAGGGAAAAATAATAAGCAGAATTTACCGATTTAAGTTAATTCTGGCGGTCATTTTGGATTTTGGCGGCCATCTTGGATTTAAGACCAAATTCTGGGTGGCCCTCGATTGACAGTGAAAGGTTTATGTCCCAGATGACAAATCCCCTGAAAAAACATCGACATTTGGAACCTGGCCAGTAAATAAGCTGCAAATCTGGAATTATTGTATTTTTTGCAGCCATTTTGAATTTTGGTGGCCATTTTAGATTGAGGCCAATTTCTGGGTGGCCCTCGATTGCTCTTTAATGGTTTATGTACCAGGTGACAAATCAACTGAAAAAAACATTGACATAACCAAATAATATGCTACATTTCTCTAATAATTGTGATTTTCGGTGGCCATTTTGGATTTTGGCGACCATCTTGGATTTGAATTCTTGGTGCCCCTTGATTGATCTTGAAAGGCTTAGGTTTGAGGTGACAATTCCACTTAAAAAAAGTTGACAACACCGAATAAATATGTTGTATATCTCTAATTATTTTAATTTTGGCGGCCATTTTGAATTTTGGAGGCCATCTTGGATTTGAGGTACAAATCTGGGTGGCCCCAAGTTTATTTCGAATAGTATGGGGTCAAGATGATAAAAATGGCAGTTTATCCTTGGATGGGCCTTATCTAAATGCGCAACATGGTGCTTTAGCTGCTCTACTAATAGCAGTTAATTATGGTCTTTGAATATTGTAAGGATTTAAGTGCTAAGGAAAATTTTTACATTTGCGGTTGACATGTCATGACATCTGAGGTAAAAATGGAAATTTTTACATTTGTATGTGAAATGTTACTACATTTGTGGTTAAACAGATTTTTACATTTGTGGGTGATTTTTTTTACATTTGTGGTTATTTTTACATTTGTGGTTGACATGTTTAACATTTGCGGTTATTTTGACATTTGCGGGTAGAATGTTTTGACATTTGTGGTTATTTTGTACATTTGTGGTAGATTTTAACATTTGTGGGCTCTACAGCCCTTCAAAGAAAAGTTTTCAGTTGTATGAAAAAGTGTCTGGTGGGATTTCAACCTGCAACTTCTCACTATAAACCTACGTTCACATCAAGCCCGGATTCCGGTCCAGAATCCGGAGAAAAAGTCGTTAAAAATGGGTTCAGTGGTAAAGAATAGGACCGTTAAAATCAAATTCCTACGATTTACAATCCAGACTGATGGACCGATGGATCTGAGAGCCATTTGTATTCTGAAATCGCACATTCAAATTTGCAGAGGGCCGGCTGGGACCTCACTCGAACCTGCCACTTCCCAGTGGTGAAACTAGGTTCTGATGGGCCCTTTTTTCGAGAGTGCAGTCACAACACAGGTTAAGAATGCTATATCTAGAAAAATAATGACCAAATCACAATTAGTTTTTTAAATAATAAGAAAGACAGTGTATTGCAAAAATTATATAAAAATACATTGTTCAAAATTTCTTATCAATTCCATAATTATATGAAATGAGATGCTTAATCCTCAATGAGTGAATAAATAAAGTGCAAGAAACACGAACACATTATATGATGCAATTTGAATAACAACGACTATAGGTCTATTATATCATGCAAGTTGACGGATGTTGTGAAATACCTAAAAAAAGATTCTAGATTCAAGAACACTTTATTGTCCATTTAAAAATAGGAATTTGTTTTTCCTTTGCAACAGTCTTGGTTAAGAAGGATAAAATTACATTAAAAATCACACGACAAAACAACTTGGCAATGACGAGAAATATGTTAAGATATTAACAATTTAAAATAGTAAAGTAGTAAAAAGTCAAAATAAAAATCACTGTTTAAAACTGTTTAAAATTTACTATGTGTATCTCAGAAACAGACCAGCCATTTTAGTAAAGATTAAAACTATTAAAACCTAGCATTTTGCTATAAAATAATGACAGCATGCTAATTAAACAAAACATGTGTTATGTATACACAGGATACAGTATGCATATTCCTCCATGAATAAATAAAAATGCAAGAAACAGGAACAAAATAATATTACCGTAATATAATGCAATATGAATAACAATGAACGTGCGCCTATTATATTTATACGAGTTGACGGATATTGTGAAATATATATAAAAAAATATATACAATATGCTATGCATTATTTAGTAAACCTATTAAATGTCTTTTGAATTAAGCTAGGTGAATACGTTAGATTTTCAAATTACAGACTGCTAGTATATTATTTAATATTTTTATTTAGTAAAGTTTTGGTTTATTAATGGCAGGAGGACCATGTATGTAGGTATTCCCATCATATGGACAGATCTACCATGTGATAAGTACTCAATAAAAAATCAGCAATTTTGATTAGATACTTATTAACTGATAGATCAATTCAACTGATCGATTTACACTTTTTAGATTTAAAAAATTACTATGAATTGGCCCAGGCCGCCAAATATACATGCGTGCAACCCGTAGCTGAGCTATTGCCCTGGTTCGAGACGAATACGTCTCAATTCTTTTAGAGTATTTTTGCAACATACTGAGCAGGCCGTATGGTAATACATCAGCTACTGTTAAAGCAATGTTTAACTACTATTACTTGTATGTACGTTAATATTTATGAAATCCCATGGTGACAAATAAAAATGATAAAACATGAATGCTTAAATGATATATTTAGTAAAAAGTATGAATGATTGATATAATAGAATAGTGCGTGTTTTGAGCTATAGATAAAGACAAAACTAATGAAAAGAAGTCATGTTAATGCAATGATGTATATTTGGCCGGACCAATAAAAATAGCTTTCGACGCCCCTGCACAACATGTAATTTATTTTTGTTATTTATTTTATTCATTTATGCTCTTTCAGAATATGTTCTGCAGGATTTACTATAGATGTATTTTTTAAATACATACCTAAACATGTTTAATGTTCCTTATTATCAGGATACTATAGAATACAATTTTTTTGCAGATTAAGTAATGCTTCACGTTGCACAAACCAGATAGACTAAATATAGTATACGATAGAGTCTATCATATAGCACTTCTTGTATTGTACACCTCAAATACCGATATATTATATGTGCTGAATCATGCGAAAATTATAAAACCACCACAGAGCTTAATGAAACATTACTATTAAATAATCTGATGGATTGGAGAAATGCATATCACAGGTACAATATTTGTCACATCAATATTGTGTGTAGAAACAACATGCATTTCATTACTCATTGATTCCTTCTATAAATCTTTTTGGCACTTTAGGTAAGCCGAAGGTATTGATTTTCCAAGCCTGTAGAAACTTACCAGAACTACAACCAGTCAGAGACAGAGCAGATGATGGCCTTATTCCAGTAGATGTTGATGATGCAGTGAGATATTATTCTGCGATAATACCGGGGAATGCCGACATGGTGGTTGTACATGACACCAGTAGAGGTAAGGGTGAAATATCAACTATATTTTAGATAAAACAATATTCCATGTTCACTTTTGAACAGAATTAAGATTTGTTCATTGTGTACTTAATTGAGCAGATAAAACTTAAATGGACATGCTAATAAACAAAAAACAAAAAACCTGCAATTTCAGGTTCTTAAGACTAGCTTTACAAAACTATTTGATCCTGTATTACTGCACCAACCCCAATCGAAAATGTTAGTATTCAAAGAGTGATGGGGTTAGTGAGGGGTCGGGGGAAAGTTTCACAGGCTTGGTCCACCGTCATCCGATGACATTTTTTATTTATTAACTGGTTTTAGGCCAAAGGCTAAGGATTCCCAAGCGGTGAACTTGTCACTATTCAAAGTGACATACCTGTTCACGTGACAAACATAATACACACAAGATGCTCTACATTCTAAGTCTCACTCGCAAGGCGGCCTTTTGCGAGGCTGTGAGATACTGGGGTGGGTCCAAATATTTGCAGGAGTTGGTGCAGAAAGGGGTCAAAACCACTAAAAACTGCCAATTCACGTTTCAAAAATTTAGAAAAAAAAAATCCAATCAAAATTAATAAATTAATGGTGACAATTTGAATAATGATTCAGAAAAATATGAATACGTAATCTTGTCAACTTTTATTTTTGTCACCAACATTAGGAAACAGTTACAAATCATTCATGAAACCTACGTTACGATGCGTTTATAAAATAAAATTCTCATGTAAAATGTTGATGGTAACTTATTCGCCTCACAAATATACTTTCACTGTTGCTCTCCACAATAGTGTGCAGACAGTTTTCCTATAATCACATTCTTTGGGCACTTTTGCATATTTTTATTTAGTAAACTGTATTTTTGTGATGGTAAATTTAAAGGTAAATGCATAAATGTAACATATACTTTTTACATTATTCCCATGATATTTGTTCTAAACTCAAAAGATTACCACTTGTATGCACTTGTAACCTGTAATAAAAAGGTTCTTAGTTAAATATTCAAAAATGTACCGGTAAAATTTACTGATAACGAATGTTACGAGGAAGTGTAACGTATGTTACAACTCCAACAAACAAAAGCGCTCATGATTAAACTATTCCGAAATTGTTAAGTGCCAACATATCTTCAACCTGTCAAAACATTTATCTACGAAAACATCGAGTATTTAATAGCAACATTTAACCAACCAAATAAAAATAATCCTGTTTAAAAAAGCACACGAAAAAAACAAAAACAGACAAACATGCTACCAAAGAACTAGGATCTGCAATCTAAACGCAAGACCACATAATTTCATTAACATTTTAGTCAGCTTGAATCTAAGCTCTTGTACCCATGGTGATATACTGTTATGATATCTATTAGAAACTAACAAAAAGTGTTTAACAAACAGTGTTGCTATAAATTAAACCCTAAGATATCAAATTAAATCCCAATACAAGCCACGTAACATACGTTACCTCCTACGGAACCTGAAGTCCCCGTTTGGAGAGAAGAAATTGAATCGAAAAGCTCAGATTCTAATTCACTGTCAATGTAACTTTCAAGTAAACATGTTGATTAAAAAAACAAGCAATTGTCACATTGTTAACATCTTATTTTAAGAAAGTTTTTTTTTAATTAAGAGGAAGAGACACAAAACCTACGTTACCATTATACCGTATGTGGTAAATAATTCGTGTCTATCATTAAATCAATCTTACTTACAGAATAAAATCTATGTTTGTATAAGGACTATTTGGTGCATGCTTACAATGGCTAATTTTCTCAAAATAGTATACTAGGCAAAATAATATAGCGAATTGAAAATTGAAACCTTACGTTACAATATTATGAAACATACGTTACGATCTAATCACATGGTTAACAATCAGTACATTCCCAAGGAAACTGTTCTTGATTGAAAACTTTATTTCAGTAAAAACAAATAGTCCTTTTTTAATGCAACATTTTCAGATACTATTGTATAAAAATATCAAGTTATTATAAAGAAATGACAAAAGCCTTATCTTCAACTAAATTTCAGTCAGGTTTCTTCAGAAATATCAACACGTTACTTCTACTACGCCGCAAAGTAAATAGCGTCTCGTTGTCAACCACACCCCCTCAACGTCAAATGGCAGTTTACAAAGCACGTCGACGCTTAGTCGTGATTTTAGTTAAGTTTAGGCCTTAGTAAATACTACAGTAACATATGTTACGGTAATGTAGGTTTTATTTTAACTTCATCGTGTGTTAAAAATATGTTGCAATCACCGAAGCCACCTACAATTTACTACCTGAAGTGCAGATATAATGCTATTACACACACCCATTATCTCGCATGCATCAACCGTTCTATTTTTGGCTACGGTGGTAACGTAGGTTTAATTTCTTAAGTATACAGGCGACAAAACACCACTTTCTTTGATTTTTTCTTTACACTGGTGATTTATATTGCCCTAAAATTTACACGGGAAGTAAAAACTTAGTCACTTTTTTAAATTTTTTTTATTAATGATGAATAATTCATTTTTAATTGAGTATGCATAATAAAATGTCCAACTGCATGACCCGGTAACGTATGTTTCATCATGGAAGAATAAATCAAATGTTGCGACACAATTGAATAGGAAAAAATATATTCTTAAAAGAATGTGATCATGTTGATTATTTTTTTTCTTTTAGGCAATAAACAAAATTTGCTATATTAACTGATTTTAAAGTGACACACCTCCTTATTTTTGAATTATATATCAATATATTTAAATTAAATTTACAATATTCAATGAACCATAACTCCAAAAGGAATCATACCTAAATGCTGAAATTTCAGGGCATTCTAGATTTACATGTTGTTACCATGTATCAAAAGTGATATTTGTCATTACTTTCGTAACTTTTGATTAATAATAAATAAAATGTTTGCGACACACTGTTTGGCTAATTGGTAAATTTTAGTGGTTTTGGCCCAAAGGAGAGAACCCCTGTATAAATAGCATAAATGACTTGGAGAACCGTCTTCTGTTTCTTAACCTCCCATCTTTTCAAAGACTTAAAAGGCAACAATAATGTTAGCCTAAAAATTATTCTCATAAATGACACCCGGCCCCTATATATACACCCATCATCTGTACATTTTTTTGCCAGCTAAAAAAGCACTCTAACATGTTAAGGGTGGTGTTTCTGGATTTCGACCACCATCAACCCCCTATGGATCTGCCCAGAAGTATCATTAAAATAATCATTCTGTGAAGCTTAGTCCGCAAAATATAATATTAGAAAGACCTTTGCAAATGAAAGTAAAATTGCCTTTAATAAATTTATGTGACTGATAATGCAAGTTTATTAAAGAATATGGTAAAAAAATGGATAGTACAATACATGCTACAATGTTGTGATGGGTGTAGACATTTCCTATTCATCACGTATTGACTTAAGCATAAACATAGTCATTTCATAATATATTTTATTCCATTATGTTTAGTGAACGTATACGCGTTTGTATCAGCCACTGCATACTGAGAACTCTGCTGCTCTTTTCACTGTACTGTACTAACGCATTGATTAAATGAATTCTCACAGGTGTTTTTTGTAGTGCGACAAGTCCTCGTCCAATGTTTTGTAGATTCGTGTTATTGTAAAATTATTTTAATGTATGTAAATTGGAACTCAAAATATGTCAATAATGATAAGACATTTAAAAGAATGGTGTTAGATATATTTCTTCCAGGGCTGTGCACATGTCTGGGCTGTAAATTGTCACAAATATTTTGTCCTTACTCAAATTAGTATGTGATTATGAGGCTTAGGGAGTGGAGTTTTTGGGTCGTGAGAAAAAATCCTGTTACCATGACAGGAATTGAAACCAGGACCCTGAAAAGACTATTAAAATATAAATATATTTTGATTGCTTATCCTTAATGTTGTGTTCTGAAAGCAAAATAATGGGCTGTTGTAACCCATAGAACCTCTTTCTATGAACTCCACCTGAGATATTATTCTGGGGACCTTGATTGAAGCTCTAGTCAGCCCCTTTGGGTTGTACAAACCCACCACCCCCTCTCCCCGTTTTACTGGATGGACCCCCTCTTAGCAATGTTTGGAACCACCATAAAATACACAACTTCACAAAACAGAAGTCAATAGCCATATTATACTACCGGTATAGAAATACATTATCAAAATTACAAATATTAAATTATATCAACAAATGGAAACTAGCTTCCGTAGCTAAAAAGTAGTCTGTCATCCACTTGTAAAAACATTATTTGCAATAAATACAAAACCTTTTTTTTAAATACTGTATCTCTGACCTTTCAGGAGACAAAGCTTACCGTAATAAAGAGGTTGGTGCTTGGCTGTTCAATGAGCTATTTGTCAATCTGAATGAAAGATTCAAAACAGAGCACCTATTGGATGTCCTTACACGATTAAACAATCGGATTTCAAAACACAAAAATCATGATGGCAAGGCTGGACTTCAGATGTCTTGTTTCATTTCAACTTTAACTAAGTTCTTTTACTTAACTAATTAATGATTAACTTTTGCCCTAAAGTTAATTTATTTTGCATTTATTGCCTGAAGGACTTGTGTATTACTAGTGACATAATTGTAAATTGACTTTTCTCAATTTGTTAATGCTAAGGATTGTAAAACATCCAATTTTTTTATTTTTCAGTGATGGATAAACTTGTTTTACTTAAATTTGTTCTTGTATGTATTGCGCTGCTGTTGCCGCTGCCACTGCTTTAGACTTACCACCGCTTTAGCTGACGCTTATTGTATCTCTGCTGCTGTGATCTCCGAGTTATTCTCAGAATGTTGTTTGTGTACCTAAAATTAAGGGTAGAATGGCTCCTTTGTGTAAGTAGTTCCTAGAGAATAACAGTGTATTCTTTCTTTTCTGCACTGTTCTACAATGAATTTTAAATCTTTTTATTGATTTTTAAAAGTGTTCACAGTGTATATATATTTAGTAGTTGTAGTTGCTAAAAAGCAGTTAACGATAAAGGGGTGGATCCAGAATTTTTCAAACGGGGGGAGTGGGGGAAAACATTTTCAAAATAGATAAGTGTGTAGCGCTTATTTCAATACATAACATTGAAATGCATTGAAATTTAAATATTTTGTGGCCCCTGTTCCCCGACTGGATCCACACCTGCAATATTAGTATTTTAAATGTGTATTTAAATTGATGAATACATGTTTATAGAACAGTGTTGGTTGTTTTTTATTACATCTATTGCATATTTTAAAGACCTTGGAACAAAGTATAATTATGACATCTGTTTTTAGTACAAATTTAGTATAATCTAGTAGTTGATTGTTTTGTATATTTTGTGTTTCAGTTATTACTGAACTATACTAACGATTTTTAAATCATGAATTACGAGAAATAAAATGTTATAGCAAAATGAAATCAGAAGTTGTTAAAACACATTAATTTGCATATGTTGCTTGTAAAATTGTGACTTGATGCTTATAAAGCAGGTCAATGCTGCTTGTTAAATTTGGAAGCATTTGAAACTTTTTTATGTGTAAATGTATAATATTGCCCTGTGTAAAACATAATTATTGGTGTAGATTTGTAGGTAATTTCATATTAACTTTTGTATGGTAACATTCGTAATAAGTATTAAAATTAGGTTGGCTTAACCAAACTTTAGAGCGAACATTCTTGGTTTTATATTCCATTTATTCTGTATTGCAGCTGATATTCTTTTTACTATGACAATTTGTAATGTTCACGAGAACAATAAACTCATAGAATTTCATATTAATTTTTGTATGGTAACCTTCGTAATAAGCATTAAAATTAGGTTGGCTTAACCAAACTTTAGAGCGCACATGGTTTTACATTCTTTTGTCTATGACAATTTGTAATGTTCACGAGAACAATAAACTCATAGAACTGTCATATTTTCTCAAACCGTATCCTTATTTCAACTCTCAAATGCTTTAGTCTGCTAGTTAGGTAAAAAGACGTTTCAAACCGTCTCATGAACACGTCCATGCTTTTTCTAGTCTTGTTCATGACCTTCCTACGGTGCCTTCTATATCAGGTCCTACTAACGCTTTACCCAAAACATTACATTACAATGGGACACTACACAATTATTATACTAATGAATTTGTGTTTAACATTCATAGTGCAGTGCACTTAACCGTCAGAAATAAGCATGCAGCTTAATTTCGCAAACTGTATTCATTCATTGGTCAATAATAGTAATGATATCTGTGCTTGGTTAAAAATGACCAGTTACCGTACTAAATATTTAATCTCATAAAATATAATGAACATATTGGCATGTCGTCTATAGAAATGAGCCTATCCTGTTAGGGTATATATCTTAATTACACTAACCATGACTGATATATGCTTGACTTTTATTTGAGTAGTGGATTTCCTATTGAAATAAATTTGTAAATCTAGTCACTCATGCATAAGGTTAGTCCATAAAGGGTTCCATGACAAACTCAACCCATTGTAAATGAGCTCTTTTTCAGATTATTGGCGACACCGTTGGTACATTTTGGCCTAATCAATGTTACATTGTGACCGCTTACATAACACACATACACCACCCCCCCCCCACACACATATATATATATATATACTGTATATATATACTGTATATATATATAGATCTGGTGATTAATCACCCATTGTATAGTCTTATGTATTCTGTTAAGTTTCTCATTGATACTCATGCGCTGACGAAGGTAACAGGAGTTGCCGAAAATTTCGCTAATAAATATTTCTATGTCTCCTACAAGTCA